AGAGCACTTTACCCAATTGTGTCATTCAATGGAAGAAATGATGACAGGTTGAGAAAAGAAATGAAAACACCTTGCGCTGGAATGCACAGCTGCTTTTTTTACATTGTATGTTTATCCCAGAATACATGAAAACACCTTGCATGGGAATTCGCAACTATTTTTTATTACATTGTATGTTTATCCCAGAATAAATGAAACACCTTGCATGGGAAAGCATGGCTATCTGTACATTGTATATTTATCCCAGTCAGTTTATCAAAGTAGCTCATACAGTATGCATCTACATAGGTCTGTCATCATCAGCTTGAGTTTGCCAAATAACCCGCTATTTCAACTGTCCCAATGTTTTCATCAGCCCGCAGTTGCAAGTAGCAGGATATTCAGTCAAGAAAATATCCAGAGAAATCTTGGTCTTGTTTCCAAAATATCCCACTATTTGGGAAATAGGGGGCTAATTTGCGCTCGTCCGAGCTAGTTTGTGATGAGCGTATTGGTCTGGTGAAAACGCAATTTCAAGCTTCGGGATAATATCCCGAGTCTGAAAATAGCGGGTTATTTGGCAAACTCGAGCTGATGAGGACAGGCTTCATGTTCATGGCAAATCTGTTTAAAACTTGATGCTTCAGTAGTGATTATTCCAGTGGTTGATTGAATTGCTCTGCGGTTTGGTTAAGTATTCTTGCGACTTGCGAGAAAGAATTGTTTGTTGGTGCCTCGGCCCATCTCTTATTCTCTCCTCTTGCTGTGGTTTGAGAAAGATGCTTTCCAGCAGAGCTGTTTTCAAGAATGGATTATTTAATTACATGTACGAAAATAGAATTCTTTCAGACAATGTCTGTTTCCGAGGCATAGTTGTGCATAATTTGCATTTTGAATGTCTCAGTATCAGTTGAGAAAATCGACCTGTTATGAAATGAAGGCTTTCTTTCAAGGTGAACAAAAATTACAATCTTGGTCCAACCCTCTTTTTGACTTGCCTTCCTGCATTTCATTTAGAATCTTAAGAAATATTTTGTATTACTATATATTTTCTATAGATAACATTAATATTTCCGCAGCCCTCTTGACATGTACACAAAATTTGAGTGATGGGAATTGAATTGGATTTGTCCTGGGTAATCTGTCTATCATTAGTCCAGACACTGGCTCCTTTTCATTAAGTTTTGCATTGTCTCTATGCAGCTAGCTATGGGCAATATTGTGTGAGCAAGGCCACGTTGTACATGGAATAATGGCCTTCTGATGAGCATTGTTCACATGGAAAATGAACAGCTTGCCAATTAATGTGAGGATAATATTTTGTATCCACCTGCCTGCTTGGCAAGTGCACTTTGTGTGCAGTCTCTATGCAGTTCATGCAAGATACTCTATAGGGACTTTACAGATCGGAAACATAGGGAGATATATACTGTACATGTACACGGAGGAAGTCAGGCATTTCACTCTTTTTTATTTCTTCCTTTTCTTTGGTTCCTACAAGGTTAGGGAAAATGCAGTAAACAATTTGAGCTGTGGAAGGGGTTAAAAAGACCTGATATGGTCTGCACTTTTATGCAAGACACTCTATAGTGACTATACATATAGATCGCAACAGTAGGACTTTAGGGAGATACCGGTATATACTGTACATTGATTGTACATGAAGGAAGTCAGGCATTTCACTCTATTTTATTTCTTCCTTTTCTTTGGTTTCTACAAGGTTAGTGAATATGCAGTAAACAATTTGAGCTGTGGAAGGGGTTTAAAAAGACCTGACATATGAAAAGTAAATGGAGATTGGAGAGGCAATAATCAATATGCCATTGTGGGTTACGTATGAAGCATAGGGTACAGAAAAGCTGTATTGATTTGGTGGGGTGCAGGCTATGCAAATGATGGGTAATGCCCAGGAGAGCTTATGGGGTTAACTGTAAGAAAGAAGTGCATGTAGCTTACATTTCAATGTTTACATGATTGTGGTTGGAATGGTATTGTTCCCTATTGTATTAATGGCAGACTGACGAAACGAAGCGAATCCACAATGTACTTTTCCGGTATGTTGAGTGTTATTACTGTTGATCATGATTTATTGGGTTTGAAATCGCATTCATGATGCATGTACAGTACCTAACATTCTTGTCACAGTTTGTAGCTGTTAGTTTGCAAACTGCTTTTCTCTTTCTCATTTTTTTCTTCAGACTTTACATTTCAACTTTTTTTGTCTACTTAACAATATACATGGCGTCCAAGGTGCACATAATAATGATTTATGGTTTATTTAAAACTAAGGTACAGAGTACTCTATTTACTGTTCAACACAGTAGTAATGATTCAAACCTAAAATAAGTGTTGTAGACAACAACAACAAAAATCCACACAATAAAACACACACACTCTTATATCTTTGATACCCCTGCCCTATATTATCAAGTTCAAATGAATGGGAACAGTTTCTATCAAACACAACTCAACAACAAGTACACGTATGAACCATTACTTCTAACAGCAGAGGAGAACTCTATCTACCATACAGTTACTCTTAGAAATTCCCACTTTTTAGTATTTCAACCACAAGCACGAATGCCCTGTCACAAAAGTGACTGTGGCCATGACCTCTCTGCAATTGCGCTCATTTCCGCTCTCAAAGCCCTGTTTTTTTTTCCCCTCTCTCTTTTTCCTCTCCTGCTCTCCTGTCTTTTTGTCCTGCTAAATCGGTTATTCCTTCCCTTTCAGTGATGAATAGCTCTAGAATTTAGTCTTGTGGAAATTGGCGCGTGGATACATGTTACCTAGGCTATATAGCCTTCAGTGGTACTTGAACGCGATGCTATTTTACCAATTGTTAGATGATGGGCCGCACATTTTAAAAGTATTTAATTCAATAAGTGGAGGGTTAATCAAGAATAATGTTTGCTTTGTTTGCTTCATTAATTCCACGTAATAGAAATTTTAATTGGAAAGGTAAAGTAATGGAATATTTCCTGAAAAACAAGTATTATTTGCTGAGACTTATTGACATGCTAAAAGCAATTCATAAGCCTATCAGTAAGAGCAGGTATTGTATTTTTTCCTTTTTTCTTTCACATGGATTAAGATTTTTGAAATTTGTTTTCTGGCCAACGCAAACCCAGTTTATAAAGTCGTGAGAATTCAACTTTTGAGTGTAGCTGGTGTTACTATTGTTGCTTATTAATGCTTCTACTACATCCGCTTCTGCTGCCAGTCTAAATGCTGGAAGAGAATTAATGCTCAAATCCATGCCATTCGCTCACATTCATTCATCCTTTTGAATAGTCTGCACATACATGAGTGGCAAGATTGTATTTGAGGAAAAGTACGAAGGCCCTGCACGGACGCATTTGTCAAGCAGCACATGCCGTCGCTATGGGAATCTGAAATTGGACATAAACAGCCCTGCTTCTTGTCACAGTGTTGACAGCGGCCCGCTTTCTTCCATGACCGCCTGGTGTTGGTGGGGGAGGTGGTGGCACTAGATGCAACACAGATTGTTTACCAGTAAACATACGCTGCCGTCTTGGTAACGGGTCAGTGGTTCTTTCACCAACGATTAGTTGGGTTCATGTTGCCTCCTTTTTACTTTACCCCAGCTAGAATTTGGGGAAAGTTACAAAAATACGCAGCAGTCTTGGTAACGGATCAGTGTTTCTTTCACCAACGATTAGTTGGGTTCATGTTGCCTCCTTTTTACTTTACCCCAGCTAGTATTTGGGGAAAGTTACAAAAATACGCAGCAGTCTTGGTAACGGGTCAGTGTTTTTTTCTTTCACCAACGATTAGTTGGGTTCATGTTGCCTCCTTTCACTGCACCCTAGCTAGAATTTAGGGAAAAGTTACAAATTTGTCTGGGTATGGAGCTTGGAAGCGAAATCCCAAACCCTGATCAGAGGGGGATAGAATCTAACATCACTGAGTCTCAATTCAGTTTGAAAATAGCCAGACCACAACAATGACAGTCGGAAAGCCCCTTTGATTTTACATATATTTATTTACAGAGCAGTGTCCCTTGCCATGTCTGTCTCTTCTCTGATCAAATGCATTGTCAGTTTTAAATGGAAGCACTGTCAGTCTATTAGACATGACTAATTATAGCAATACTAGTTGTGAAAGTAAAGCAAAGTAAAGCAAATTAGAGCTCCTTTACATGAGCAGATCAAAGTGCACTTATTAAAAAAATTCTTTTCTTCTGTTGCTTTCATTTTCAAAGAAAGTTTCTTTTTATAATTAAGGTTGTCTTGTGAGTGATAGCTTGCTTGCGGGTCTAATTTTTTCAATGCATTTATGATGCTGGGCTGGCCACCCTGGCTATCAGGACTCGTGATATATGTAGGTAGATTATAAACAAGTAGGTATCATTACCCACATGTACAGTCTTTGGATTGTATTCTGTGAAATTTTCTTTAGTATTTGCTTTGTGATTAAAGACATTATTTTGTCTCCATTGTTTAGTAATTCATGTCATGTAGCTTTCTACAAAACAAAACACCAAGTACAAATAGCTTTCTGGGGTCATATTTCTAATATTGTCCAGAGATGGAAATAATTTTTACCAAAATTTGAATTTGAATTACATGTAGTAGACGTCCCAAAACAGTTAAAGTTAATGAAAAGAATGTACCTCAAAGTTGTGAATATATGTTAATCATTTGATTTTCATACCAAAACAAAGAAACAAATTAGATATCAAATGCTGTTTTTTTCTCATGTTCTTGATGTAAAACCTCAAGACTACAATAGAGTCTTGACAGTTGACAGCATTTATTCATAGTGAAGCACTGTTCAATAAATCAAGGAGTTTTTTCAATCTACAGGTTTTTTTCCTTTTAGGATGAAAATGAAATATAAAAACACCCAACAGGATAATTCCAAGAATCATACCAGCTGATAGTACCAGTAAGAATTATATGGCTACTTTCCACCATGTTTATGTGGTGTGAAGGTAGTAATAAAGTGGTGATGTGAAGAGTTTGATAAAAAAATAAGCTGAAATATTGTTTTGAGGTGGGTGGGGGTGACGAGAATGGGAACCGCAGAGGAATATTAATGAGGAAAATCACCAGTACAAAATTAAAAATAGTGAAAAATAGATGCAGCAATATCCAGAGAATCGTGAAGAGACAGTAAACAACCAACAAGTAAACAGATATAAAATTATAAATACACATGCACTTGTTTTTTACTTTTATGTATTTTTTGCTTCAGGATATATCCCTGACCTAGTTATGAATACCATGGACAGTTTATTATTTCAAGACAATGATTGTATCCAGAGAATAATAGAAATTGATTGGGAGGTCAAACTGATGATAAAATTGAAAGCTCCCCGTCGCTAAAGTACTTAATTAAAGGTATCCTCCTTTGCAGTTGATGATACAGATTTTTTTGTGAGGGGCATAGACCCCTAAGATTATGTTGAATGGGAGGAAAGTGTTTGTGATTTGAAGAGTACCGTATTTAATTCAGCTCCTTGAAAGTCTGGTGTTCATTGAAATGAAGAAAAAAAAACACCCAGCATTGGCTGTGGTTGAGACTAGCAGTTCTATTCATTCTCTGGCAGTGCTATTGTACTGCTGCAGAAGTTTGCAGCCATTTATGTATGCTTCAATAGTGAAACACTAAAGCCCACGCTGGCTCAGTGCTGTATTACCAGTCTTGCGCTCAGGGTATTTACTGACGGGAGGCCCTGCAAAGGGGGGAAAGAGATTACCGTACATCTGCGATTGAGAGCGAGCGAGTCTATAGCAGTGCTGGAACAGAACAGGTTGGGTCACGTCAATAACATAACATAGTCTAGGCTGACTAGCGGTGCGTTGGGAAACCTACTACACTCTACAGACAGTGCGCATTGTATGCAGCGCTTCATACGCTCGCTCGCTATAAACCAGGAAGGTCTATTTATGTCAACCCCCAAGGCTACATGTAAAAACACGGCCGATCGCTAACTACATGTATGATTACGACCTGAGACGATAGTCAGTCGAGAGGATAGCGTTCAGTATTCTGCCAGTGGAAAAATATAAGAGACACAACTTCCTGTGCTGTAGAAAATAGTACACAGTGGATGTACTAGAAGGAATGTAGGTTGAATTGCCCTAGTTCTATCAGAATCTCTGCATAACTAATGAACGTCTGCTATGCAAGTCTGGTAAGTGAATTATTGGTTGGGTAGCAAGCAAGCAAGCGAGCCTGGGTTACACTACAATACAGCTGGTGATAAATTGGCCTGGGTTGCTCCGCTGATGTACATGTAGTATGTGACCTTTCTGCTGCATAGAGCTTCACAGTGGATGCCAATGGCTTGTCTTGGCGTTTATATTTATCCATGTACATTGTAGCTTCTGCAGGAATTTGTCAACACTTGATACCCCGTACACTACCAAAGCGGTAGTGCAGTGCCTTTTGTTATTTGCGTGCAGTGACTTGGATGTCTGTTTCTAAACAGGGATAGGTCTGCATGTACTTTAATGTATGTTTACATTGTATTGTACGTGTAGTACGTGTACATCATCATTATGTTGCTTCTGTAGTACAGACGTTGTTTAAAAATATGGTTCCCGAGTGTAGGTCACCTGCTTATTAGATTGTGTGTTTACTTTGTAGGCCTTTAAACAAAATCCTGCTATCCTTACTCGTATGTTACATGTATGCTCTTGTTTCCCAGTCAACATGAACTATTGAAAAGACATGAGATTGTGTGGCATCTTTCTGTTGTTCTGTTGCCTACTGTGTATGTATAGATAAAGTTTGTTTTTCCTCACATAGTTACGAAAGTATGCTTGCTTTCCAATGGAGGTGTATTTTTTTTAATCTGTTGTGAATGAAATACATGCATGTATCCTTCATGAAAAAAAGAATGAACAAGATAATCATGGACACATGCTGTGATTAAATTCTTTTCATCATGGAGTTTAGGCCAGTAGGTCCAAAGTTCATGATAATGAAAATAAGTTGTGAATTGTATTGTCATGCACTGCAGTGCTTACGGTAGTAAAATATCAAAGGCCAAATTTGTAATTGTAGTGTTTTCATGTCATGTTTAGATTTGTACATTTTGGGGGTTTATCTACATTTATAAATATTGTCAAGCTCATGTGCAAAATAACCTGCAAAAGTACAGTGCTGACCTAGTACCGGTATACATTGCAGATTTGTGAATGTTTACATGCACAAGGCTACACCCCTCTGAACAAACAAAACACAAAAGATGTATCAACAATTGTTCTTGATGGGCTGCCGGTTTGAGTTACTTGTCTATTGAATAATACATGTAGAGTGCACAATAATATTATGTAACTGTTATGATAAAACAGTATTCTATACATATACTTGTAGAATAGACTTTGATTCTCAAAGATGTACAAGATATATCTCCTTTGGAATGGTAATTGCATGTGACTGATTTATCGCACTACATTTGCCAATGTTTGGGTAAAACAATTGAAAGACAAACAAGTGTAGTACAGTTGAGATAGTTTACATGAGAAAAACACTCTGTAACTTGATTGATAAGTCATTGATAGAACAAAAATTGAATGTTCATTATCACTAGCTGTGCAAGTTGTCTGGATGTCATAAACTGCATGAAAAGGTATTTTCCCCATTTCACTGTCCTGAGCAAGAAAATCTTGATTATAAATTAATTTAAAAGCACTTCCTTGCAAAATTGAATTTTGTTATTAAATTATTTTGTGGTGAAGCCCTACATGTGTATATATTGTTACTAATGAATTCCTCTTTTCTTCTTCTCTTTCTCACTCTCTCTCTCTCTCTCCCTCTCCTTTCCTCGCCTCCAAACTCCTCCTTTTTTTCTTTCTTTCTCCTTTTTTTTCATAATAACAGAACGATGAGAGAAGCCATGCAGCCCGACTTAGGGATATAACGAGCTTATTTCTGAAGCGCGTGCCAGGTAAGGGGACGATTCTTCATTTAGATTGTATTATATTTTCAGTTACTTGCTGTAGATTATTGAATTCCTTATTTTGAATGTATATCTGGGCCTTGTATTACAAAGAGTTGCGATTATCAGCGCACATTGCACTTCAAGGAATTATCCTACCTATTTACCTCACCTGGGTCGAGTGTGGCAAATAAAGATTAAGGTCTTGCCAAAGGACATTAGTGCCGCGGCAGGACTCGAACCTCGGGTCTTGTGATCTACAGTCCGGTGACATATCCACCCGATCACAACACCTCTACATGTTCAAATATGCATTGTATCTTTAAAAGATCCAGGCACTGGAATTCAAAGAGTTCAATACTTTACTTCTGTGCAATAATTGGAAACAATGGATACTATGCAATTTTCGTACTTCTTGCTCGGACTTGACAAAGGAGATAGTCGTAGTTGTGTGACGACGTAAAGAGCACACGATTTGTTCGCAGAAAAAGAAATCCAGTTCTGGAAATAGATTGCAATGTAGTGAAAACAGGCAATGTTTATTGACTACTAAAGGCTTGCTTTTTAAATCAGTCTAACACACACCCTATGATGTTAATCCCTCTCTCAAATGCACTTTGTCCTAGACTATAAAAATAAGTCATTCATTCATTGTGTACATTTGTTTGCAGCCATTTGAGGCCCACACTTTGGTGTGGTTAAAGGTAAAGACCAGTATTGGAAATGCCCCAATTTCAAAAAATGAAATGGAAGCTCTCATTACCAATCATGTGAAAGAATATGTTTTGACTAATACATGATGATACAAAATTTGCCGGGAAACTGCCTACTAATTCATATATTTGGTAAATTTGTTTCTCTCATGGTCTGTGAGAGATATAGGGTAGTCCCATATACATCTTTCTGTGTATAGTGCTTGTAACTTTACGAAGAATGGGCCAAATTTCTTATCATTTTGATGATTCCAGAACCTTGCAGATGCTAGATGCTAGATGATCAACCTTTTCTGATCGATTCCACAACGTTTCTTTCACAATGCAATTGCATGACCATAACTGGTCTTTACCTTTAATGTTCATCTAAATTCTATTTTATCCCCTCTTTATGTTTTTCCCCCACGCAGCAGAGAAGTACAACGGCCAGAGTGATGATGAGGTAAATATGTAAAGTTATTAATAGAATACGCATCAATAATGAGTAGCATCCAGTTCTTTATTGATAGCCTTTATGCAGCTGGGATTTTTCAGGATAACATACATGTATTGTAGCTTCATGGGTTGTTAAGTATTAATAATGCTCATCATAAAAGCATAGGCAGAACATCATATGCGTGGCACAAAGGCAGGACATATAGATTGAAGTCTATATTCATGTAGCTTTCAATAGGGTTGTTTGGATGAGTAGTTTTGCCTACTGTAATGCTGTCATGTTGATGTTATGTTCTCATGGACACCCCCTCCTTTCATAGTAGGGTTTCATAGTCATGTTTTACGAAATCAGGCATTTTTATAGTTTTTCATATTAATCTATATGGTTATATTAATTTCTATAGTGATTGACTATTGTACTTTATAGGCCTGCTGGAATCTGTCAAAAAAGTTATCCCATTTTACTCTGTTTCTGACACTTTCTTCTTTTGATATTGCATACTGAAACCAATGAGAAAGACCCTGTATATTGCTAGAACTAATCAAAACTTAAAAGCTCAGGTTTTAATTGACTATTTCCTGGATTGTGCAATAAAGGAAATTAAGTTAACATTTTGAAAATGAAAATTATAAAAGCTGTTTCATCTTTTTTTGATGGAAATCTCATTCGTGAAAATATTATGAATTGAATATGTTACTTGAGAGTTTGCTAACTTGTTATTACTGTTTAATTGTCTGGACAGATACTTCTTCATGTGTTCAAGGATGCCGTTTCATTTACGTTTAAAGGTGAGCAATTAATTTTCAGATTCTGTCTTATCCATTAGTTATGTTACATAAATAGCTCACCACACAGTACACAACCTAAATGCAGACACGGAATTCTGCGTTCTGTGCAGTGTTTAATATAACTATTCTCTTGCAAATTCTTATGAAATATTGCTTTGCTTTCGTATAATGAAGATTATATAAAACATAGGAATGATAGAGTGATCACTGGTGCTCATCATCGTCTTAGAATACAAAGGAATTAAGGGATTTAATGTCCATAATTTATTTCAATACCATTTCAATTACATCATCATCATATAACAACTACATTCAACTGCATTTCAAAGAAACGTAAGTTAGATTGTACAATTAATAGAGACCAACAAAATAAAGTTTTACAAAAAAAATGATGTGGTTGAAAGCTGTAGCTCCCATACAATCCCTTTATTTATGTTCTATAGTTTTTGTGGTGAAGAAATGAGTGTTGTGGATATTTATTCTGTTCTAAGTGCCAGTGCTTCCCAAGTTGACCTCTGTGTGATATCCTGAGCTAGTAGGTTGTCAATATCTCCAACACAAATGTCAGATTTCCTGTCCCGATATCCTGCTTCTGACTTAAAGGGTTACTTCGAAATAAATACTTAATTAGTTTGTGCTTGTTTGTGCTTGTTCATGTACTCTGTTCAAATATATTGTTTTGTTCTTGCTCAAGAATGATTGATTAAAAATTATCATTGAAAAAAAAAAAAATCCTTAGGAGTAAACATTTTCAAGAACACATCATCGTGGGAGGAAACCATAAAGAGACAATGTCAAACGCAGACCTTCTCCCTATGTTCATGATAAGTCTTTAAATATTATTAGTTACATTGACTGTGCCCAAGACGCTTTATCGCTTATCAGTGGGAAACCGTACATCACGCACACTATTATTATGGAAAATACTTGATTGAATTTGGCGAGAATTGGGCCCTAGGGAGCTGTTTTCCTAATCAGTTCTGACAAACATGGTGAATTATAATGTTGACAACGTTATCAGCACTTGGAATTGAACTCCTTCCAATATGCAAGTTTTGATACAAATTTCCGTCTTTCCTGTCCTAAACTATTTCAGTCCCAAACGCACCTTTTTCTTACCGAAAGCCGTCCCTTAAAACAATAGCGGGTTAAAAGACCCCTTTTCTGATTTTCCTTGCAAAACTTGAATTTCCCTCGTACCCTATGGAGATTTTATTCCTGCTCGTAGATCAGGCTTGATCTCCACAGTCCACATCATAGTCCTGGGGGGTGTTTCACAAAGATCCAAGTTGAACTTATCTCAAAGTTGGACATAACAATTATGGAAAGCCATTAGCATCCTTGAAAATATTTTGTTGAAAGATATTTTAAAAGGCATAAAATGTTGATTCAAATCATTCATATTTTCTATTATCAAGGAGATTTCATGTTCTTGATGTGGAATTTATAAAAATTCTAAAATACTTGATTTTTTAATTTTAATATATTTTATTTTTAGACTACAAATGGCTCTCCATAATTTATGAGTCCAACTTAGATTTAAGTTCGACTTCAGATCTTTGTGAAACACCCCCCAGTTCTTGTTCTCCCTTGTCACAACTAATTACACAAATGCAGGATACGAGCTCAGATACCATCGTTGAAATACATTAGGAACCTCTTTGCAATGGGGGAGACGAGATGCCTCTTGATAAAGAAGGGAAGATATGGGTCGTTTGCTTTTAGGCAAACGCAGTCTCGAGCAGAGGAATGCATAAGTGCCTGCAATTTCTGCATGGAATATAATGAAACCATCTGGTTAGAACATGTCTAGCCGAGGAGAAATGCATTACAGTAATGTCTCTGGAAATGTACATCTGATTCAAATGCACTTTAACCCAAACATGTTTACTCGTCTTTCCACCAAATATGTAATTTGATCGCAGCCACAAATGCTGTCTACGAGATATCTGCTACATGTACGTGAGCATCTAAACAGTGGATCCCCTGTCATTGTTTTGTCTAGAGTCTTTCAGCCACTGTATCGTCTTCTCTCTGGGGGCGTGCTCATCAATAATACATAAAATCAACGACAAAAAAAAAACTCGAAGACGTCTTCATGCATTTGCTCCATCATCCAAAGAGTCGTATCCATATCACTAGAAAGATCTTTCACAATACAATTTTCCCTATGAAAAATCCAGGAATATGCCCATCGCACAAAGTCGAGGAAAATGTGTTCAGGATCTCACAAGCATCTGTTTCTTTTCTTCAAAGATATATCCATAGGTCCATTAATACAGCCTAAAATCCATTTTGAAGAAGAAAAAAATTGGTTATTTTTACTGCCATTTACACCACTGGAAAAGCCCATTTAAAAAAAAAAAATTGGTGTTTGCTCTTTCTGATTTTTTGGTCGGTAGTGCGCATGCGCAACCTGTAGCTGCTCTGCATGCGATCGCACAGAAACGAGAGGATTCAAGTGACCCGAAACCGGAATTATTCAAACATATTTTGAGAGCGAGCATTTACACTACAAAAACCTATGCATTTTAGCCAGCCTTTCAAAAACCCACACTCCAGATGTTTTTATTTTTTTTATTTGGGTTTTTGTTGTGTTTACCGAAAGTTGATTAGTTGATGATTTTTGCTTGCAGTGTGAACGCTACCGAAAGTTGATTAGTTGATGATTTTTGCTTGCAGTGTGAACGCTACCAAAAGTTGATTAGTTGATGATTTTTGCTTGCAGCGTGAACGCTACCGAAAGTTGATTAGTTGATGATTTTTGCTTGCAGTGTGAACGCTACCGAAAGTTGATTAGTTGATGATTTTTGCTTGCAGTGTGAACGCTACCAAAAGTTGATTAGTTGATGATTTTTGCTTGCAGCGTGAACGCTACCGAAAGTTGATTAGTTGATGATTTTTGCTTGCAGTGTAAACGCAGCTCCTGTGTGTAATAGGAGAAGACAACATTAGGTAGGTGAGGTTCTCCTGGGGAGGCTGAGCGAAATCAGAGAAGGGGGCTCATTACGTGAGGTATCGTCTTACTGCCCCACCTGCCTTAACATGAGAGCCCTGCCAACATGAGCTGTCAAGAAAAATCTGCTTTTTACTCAGTTTACTTAGTCATAAACGTGTTATCATGTGCAAAACATGGGGTCGGCCTGCACAGTGGAGACTTCCAAGGGATGTTAAACTGACAATGGTGTTTTGGGTTAGGTCTGGAAAAAGATGGACAATGCTCACTAGGGTATATTTACATGTAGGTAGATATCTTGTAAAATTTAACAAATGTTTTCTTTATCAAACTTACTTCAAAATCGAAATATATACAAACACTACTTTGTGTAAATACTTAACGAATCAACTCGCCCCTTCAAACCAAAACTCTGTTTGATCGGTGAGGTCTTAACTTCATCTATATGCTTATAACACCTGGTCTTAATATTCACTAACTAACTCATCATCAATTGCAAATTTACAGCCAACACAGAACACCTAGCAAGCAAAAACAAATAAAACAACATGTATTTATTTACAATTCATTTTATATCGTTCATGTGTAAAAAGCTGGCATAAAACGAGCTGGGTGTTGAAATGTTAATCTTTCCAATACAAAGTGATCGCTTATCCACAAGACCACTCTGCCTTTCATTCAAACCTCTTATATCAAGGCATGCCCTCGCAATGTATTTTTGTGCTCCTCTTTCTACACAAAATCTAAAAATTTGAGGAAACTGAGAGCAAAGTGTAAGGCAATGTTCATCTACTATTATTAAAAAAAAATTAAAAACAAAACAAGCTGGGAAATGACAACCTGGGAAATGACAACCAAAACAGCGTTCTAATGCTCCCATTAATTTCTTTCCACTTTCTGCAGATAACAGCCAGAACAGAGTACTTGAATCGTCTTCAAGTCAAAGTTACGAGAGTACGCCAAATTTGAACGGGTCTACTACCACGCAGGTGCAGGATTCAAAGCCCACCAATCAAGGAATTCCAAACATATTCGACATAAAGGTAAAGCCCATTTGATTTATTTTATTCAGGGTTAGGCGGTGGAAAGAGGGGGGGGGGGGGGAATATTTTTAGCTCTTAAATCCATTTCTTTTTGTTTGTTTGTTAAAAAAAAAAGTGAAAAAAATACACAGGGGCTCGAGGCGGATTAGCCCCCAAAATTATCCCATGCTTATCCTTATACATGTACATCGCCTGTATAATACGATTTTCTTTGTTTCTGTAGGGATAATTAAGTAATATTGACTGCCTTCTGGGCAATACGACATATATCGCCCGAACCGAAGGTGAGGGTGATATATGACAAGTCGTATTGCCCTGAATTAGGCAGTCAATATTACTATTATTAACCACATCAGACATCTAGAGCAAACAAGAAACTCTTACTATCTTATACTCTTAAATTATGTAGGCTATACAGGGTTTCCTAGCATTAGAAGTTGCAAAAACATTGTCAAACCAGCACTGTTCATCCAGTGTTTGACAGATTTTCGATACACTGCAAACAGTTTGCCTTGGGTTTGATTGTTACGTCACAATGGAGTTCGCGCAAAGTGCGCATTTTCTTATACACGATGCGCGATGTAGATTACAGTAGCTGATGCGCGATGTAAATTACAACTGGATCTACATTATTGCGCACTAGTTTAACACGCATTTTGCCATTGACTTTTCTGAGCGGGCTAAAATATTTGTCCATTGGATTACTGTATAACCTATATCACCCGCCAAATTACACACAAATCACATTGACTCTGCTGAGCGGGCTAAAATATTTGCGCATTGGTTTACTGTATAACCTATATTGCCCGCCAAATTACACACACAATCGCATTGACTTTTCTGAGCGGACTAACTTATTGTAATTTTGTTCACTTGTCCACCAAACCTTGAGGGCAATAACATTTAAAAATTTCCCTGCTCAGATGTCTGATGCAGTTAATAATGGTCCTTATTTATAGTTTTTCTGCAGTGATATCCGTTTGTTCTTAGAGAGGCCTGGTTATCTTCCATGCATTTATCTTCCATGGTATCATACCCAGCTTCTATTTGTCAACTCATTCTTTAAACCCCTCCCCACCCCCCTACCTCGAAATTTTCTTGAAGAGTAAATAGCATAATTATTTAAGTATAAACATTTTGAAACCTGCAGTTCTAGCTAACCATTTGAAAATAACTAGTGAAATGTATTTCACATGGAAAAGACAACCTTACATGTTTTGTTTCAATACATTTTAGGGGTGGATAGGTATCATTATACACCTTCTCCAGCATGCAAAAGATAGAAACTCTGATAAGACCTGGTAACACAAGAGACCTCAGTTGAACAAAAAATTTCTACTCTTCTAGTTAGATGACATTTGTGTTTTGAAAGTATTCAAAAATGGCTTTTGTTCATATGTGTGTGTCGAATCAAGAGGGACTTCCCAAGAGGTTTACATCTCTAACGCTGATCACTGTTGTTGTGCATGCTGTGTTTTGCACAATAGTGGAAGGAAGGAAGGGTAGGACTAAGTGGCTTTGTCAGCAGTACATGGTCTCCGTTCAGCGCATGAAGAAGAAGATAATTCTGCCCCCAGGCTGTGTATTCCGTATTCAACCTAAGCCCCGTGCGCAAGGCGGCGGTGGAATAATTCCCTAGACCATTTTCAGGGCTGTATGGACATTGAAAGGCGAAAGAGATGCAATATCTACAGACATGTAATGGACTTCAGGGGGATAGGTTTTCCGAACATAAGAAAATAATGATGTACTTGGCATTCGCAACTTCTGTTCTTATTACATGCAGTATATCTTTTGCCGGCGTCTGTTTCAGAATCTTTGTATTTTACAAAGATTTTTCTATGTCTGACTGTAGTGTGCGGTTAAAGTTAACAATTAAAATGATTGCACCAAATCATTTTATTAAATTGCAAGCAAATATATATTTTTACCTTGTGCTATGTAATTTTTGTACTATTACATTATTTTGTTTGTATTTTGTTAATGCATAATTGTGTTTGTATTCAGTATGGATGCACGCAGCCATCGCCTTGACATTATGGCTTAACCTGTCTGACTTTCTATGACATTTCTTTCTCCGCTTCATCTCCCTCCCGCACGACGACACAACAAATCGATTCATGCCCTGTCTGCCACACGCACTGGCCCTGTGCAATAATGGGCAACAGCATGTCATAATGTCAGCGCCTTGGGCCCCCTCCCTCCCTGTACGAGGCAGACGGGTAAAGTGTCGCAGGCTGACGCGCTCGTAATTGCCCAGCTTTCTTCCCTTTCCCTCCTCGCTTTTCCAACAAGAATCCTTGTGTGAAATGGAACATTGATTTTTTTTTCCTTCTTCTGTAATGAAGAAAAAATAGATTTCTATCAACTCACCTAGCTGCATTTGTTTGATAGAAGCTATTTTTGTTGTACAGTCACACTTGTAATTTATATTTATCTGACAGTTACTTCAATGAATATTTGGAGCATGACGGTAACACATTTACAATTTTTAGTTTAAAAAAAAGTAGGTGTAATTGTGACATAAAACTGAAACTGAATTATAATTCTTTATCGTCACATTATATAAAGATCAAGTAAACATAATTGAAAACAAATGATGTAAAATGGACTTTCATGCTCATAGAAAGTGTTATGCTGTAAGATGACAGAAAAGAAATTATGATGATCTGGAGCAAGGAGTTGCCATGTCTTTGTTTTCATCTAATGGCTACATGTACTCAATCTATTTTGGAATGTTTCATTTCCTGTGCCCTTTTTATTTAAACGAAGACAAAGTGCGAGTTTTAATTCCTTCTTTCGTTCATACATTTTCATTTTCCATTTTTAAATATCTTTCGGAGGAGTAAATTGACTACCGGTGCACGTTCGAAGAACATTAGGAACTATTCATAGCCCAATCATGTATGTTAATTTTTTTGCAGGTTTTGCCTCCAACAACAAGGAAGCAAAGCAGTATTCCATCCAGTGACATTTCTGTAGACTGTAGGAGTGCTCCGTGGCCTTCAGTGAAGCCATCATTTTGTCGAACGTACTTGATCGTACTTGATCTACTTTTCTGCATGATTTAGTTTCGGTATTCTCAAATGGGCACCGTGATTAATTTCCAACTCCATCACGATCTCTTTGTTTTGTCTTTCTGTTTGTTTCAGGAAAGTCCTTCAAAGGTTACAAACAAGCAAGAGTGTATTCAGGATCAAGTAGTTGGCCCGGCTCAAAGTCAGGTTAGTATTTTCTTTAACAACTTGTTATGTGTGTAGCTATACTACAAGAACATGGGCAAATGTTCATCAATTTAATAAAAATATGACTCATTTGTGCATTTTTTTTTGGGGGGGGGGGGGAGGGTGGTCATACCTTTTTTCCTTCGACTTTCAGACACTATTCAACATTGTCCATACAAAATTAAATATTCTCTGAAAGTCTCGTTCTATGTAGCTTAGAAAATGAGAAATTCATTTCTGTGTATCCTACTTTGTACGTCACTGAAGTTGTGGCTTACTTTGCATCACAACATTTGGTGGTTGTGTATGTCTGATTCCTTAGGGCCTAGCCTCCTCTATTAGATCATTATAGATGGTAATTTTTAAGGGGAGTTTTGGTATTTGTTGGGGCTTATAATTACTGCCATTGATGCTTTATTACTCACTAATTAAAAAAGCAAGATTTTTGTTTGACCCATAAAAATGTAGGCATACCCCTTTTCTGCATGATTTTCTTACCAATTTGCAAATGTAATTTCAGACACTTTGAATTCAGTACAGGCAATATACGCTTATCTTTTGCCCTTCAAAACCACCATTAGGGTAGTCCTCGATCAGAGCTACATTATGCATTGTCTGCTCCCCCGTTCCTAAAGCTGGAGTAATAAATGAGTCATGCCTTGGGGCACGCTCTCTCTCTCTCTCAAGCCCCCTTTACCGTCCTCACTGCCTGGATGATGCCTCAGCTGTAAGAGGTTCAGGCAACGCACCAATCGCTGAAGGCACCTCCAAATTGCTTTGCCCGTGCCCTGGAAATTAACCCGTTTCTGCATTGTTGTATCGGAACAAAAGTGTTCATGGAGTGGCTTGCGGAATTACTCCTCTGTTTCATAACGTGTGGCATTTATTTCAGAGTTGTCATAATGCTGAATACATTTCTGGGTTTCTGTATTTCTCCAAGGTGTTCATCTCAAATTCATGCCCTTCTATTTTTATCATGGCGCACTTCAAATGTAATTACAAAAGATAAGTGGAAGGAACAGATCCTTCAGTGTACTAATTTCAACTTATGAATATGAAGCACATATCATTTCATCTTTCAATTATGCATTAAATGAACTAAGTTGCAATAAATGATAAAGAGAGACTTTAAAGCATCCTTTGGAAATGTATTTAATTAGATTTGAAGAAAAAGAAATCAATTGTGTTTGTGCTAAGTGCATTTCATTAAGATTTCTAACATATATTGTTACAAGTGGTTTATCGCAGCTAGACAAATCAAATCTAAAGATAAGTTTCTGTAACTTTTTTGAAGATCCTACCACTTCGTAATTTCCTTTAGTGTACTTTCCATTTTATTGGTTTATCTATGTTTGCAAGAAATATTTATTGTATTCTTTGCCTTTGTATGTTTTTATGAAAGGGTTGAATCAATTCAATTCAACAAAACTTCTGCACGCCATGTACATGATTCTGCTTTATAACTTACATCAGTATTGGCGAAAATCATCCAATGGCGATGAAAAACGCCATTAATTTCAACAACAACATGGTTGTTCGATTGTACACATCTGTCTGTATCCATTCTTGTTTTATATAAAGCATTTTTCTCTCCATTGCTCTTCTTCTCTCTCAGGTCAAGACACAATCCGTGTTCAACTCTGAGGAAGCTCAGCACAGCGTATCAGGACAAAGCAAGAATCAAGACCAGTAAGAATTCATTCTTCATTACACTTTAATGTTGCTCATGCGCGGGTATATAGACGGCAGCACATGGACGTACGCACAGGAGCGTAATACCCGTTTGCCGTTTTGTAGTGATCGCCAAGTTGCCTACTTAACAAACGACTATATACCCACGCATGAACATCTTTATCATTCATTTCTTCTTGTGCTTGTTCACTCCCTCATTTGTTAATTGATTGTCCTGGTTCATCGTGCTTGTGGTCAGCGAAATCTAGCCACCAGGGATGTTTCAAATGTTTAAATGTCTTTTTTTATTGTGTGGTTTGTTTAACTTTTGGTCTGTGTATTTTCTTTGATTTGTATTCTTTTTGTGCCTTTTTTCATAGCTGAAGCTTAAATTTGATTATAAATCCCACATTTCCACTCACCGGGTCAAGTTTTATAATCAGTTTGATAGTCCATTCATGTCTCCTTTTCTTCTTGCTCTATTCCTCATTGTGTTGAGGACTTGCATGTTAGGCCAGCAAAAAAAGCACCAAGTCTTCATCATATCATCAATGGAATGATTAAATTGGACCCTACCAAATCTGAACACAATAATACGAGCATCAATCTGTCAACTCCAAGGAGATGGTGTGTAACCTTTATGTTTTGTTTTGTTGTAGGGTCAAGGTTGACAAACCGAGGTCACCGTCATCCCCAGTGGGAGGGATCGGACAAGCCTCTCAGAACACAGTCTCACACACGCAGAGAGATACAATCAATGAGGTAAGATTGGAGCGTGTTCTAAAAGCAATTCACACACAGCCGCAACTGTCGTGTACATCATCATTTGTCATTGGTGAAAATCTAGCCTTGTCCCACTTGCAGTGTTTTTTTCCTCACTCTTGATTTGGCCATTTAGTACTAGTCTGCACATACAGACTCTCATTAAGCACAATAAATCTGCTAACTAATTTTATGCATACTTCTTGGCAAGGTTTCCCTTGACAGTTCAAAAGTCTGAGAAGTTACAGTGATGTACATTGATCTAATGGTATTGAATTGTAGCAATCCCCATCCTTACCAAACACTTATCAGCATTTGCCACTCTCGACCCAGGTGAGGTAAATGGGTGCCTTTATTATTAAAATTCCAGTTAGAGTGCGATCTAGATGAAAGCCGGGATAATATTATATGGTGACATAGAATTATGTTAATGGATAAATAGTGCGATAATAATGCTTTTGTTACCACTATTTATCAAACTCGGCAATGAGAAATGGAAGGGTCAAGAGTAAATTGGTGGATTACTATTTTTCCTGACTCAAATTCATTGAGAGTAGGAAATGTACAAACTTGAAGAAAGGCAAGTGCAAGTATTGGAAGCTAAATTTAGTTGATCAGATCCGGTGGATTTATTCACGGTAATCTTTTAATATGGAAGTGACATTCTCATTGAACAGAAGTGTGAAAAAAGGCCCATTGAGAGTGTATGCCTTAAATCAATATTGAGGTCTGTTGTGGTTTTAATGTTTACATTTCTTATATGAGTGCAGTTCATATATAGATATTATGTGCAAAGTGTGTATGTGTATGATTGACTTAATTTTAGAATGAAGTCATTATTGACGTAGAAAGAAGTGATTGTTGACTTAATTGTAGAAAGAAGTGATTATTGACTGATTCTGTGGTCTACGTGTTGGGTTTAAAGTGCAGTGACAAATACGTTATATAAAGAAAAGTTTGTATTATTGGGCTTTCATATAATCAGATAGCATATGTAAAGGCACTATCCTAGTGGCTGTTTCTATTGAAATCATATTTATCTGGTGTGCACTGTGTATGGCTGACATAATTGTAGATAAAAAGTGATTGATCAGACTCGTTACTCTGTGGTTTTGATTGTGTAAAGTTTAAATGCGCACATCAAATAGATATTATGACAGTTGGAAGTTGTGGCAAGTGAAGGCTTGATCAGCAGCTGGATGCATAGGGAACTACCCTGGTAATATTTAAATCATATCGAGGGGATTAATGTTCTATGTGTGCCTGATTTAATGGCAGATTAAGTGATTTATGACTGGCAGTCTCTAGCTTTGAGTTGCTAATGTGCGGTTATGTGTGTAGAGAGATTGCAGGCACGCATCGTATCAATATTATGGTGGTGAAGCCATATTGACAAGGGATGTTCAAATGGCTGGTGGGAGGATCGCTTGATGGAGTGAAGCTGTAACTCGATAGGGAGGAGGTTCCTTTGATGCTGAGGGGAGGGGGGGGGGGGGGTTTCGGTTCTATGGCTTGTTGTGGTGACAACCCCACTGGTATTCTAATCCCCAAGTCACTGGATCTCTGCAAACAGAAATGCAATACAACCTGACCTTATCTCTTACCACACCACGTAATTGATCGGTTGGGGGTTGAATTATTAATGTACAAACATTGCGCAGGGCATCGAACACTGGGTCGGTGTGCATGAATGCTGGTCAGGCCAAACTGAGCTGCCTGAAATGGCAAAGAGATGAAGAGAGTATGTCACTATAGATATAGAAATGGGGGGGGGGGGGGGGGGTAATCAGTGTGTTGCAATGTGACATGATGGGACAAGCCTCAAGTGTCTTATTGCAGCAATACCGAACATCAGGAAATAGATAGCGATCAAATGCAGTGGCATTTAGACCTGGTTTCCTTGTTATGTCAATTATAAAGTGATAAAAGAGAGAAAGACATTTTTAATGTAAGTATTACAGTAGTAATGTACTGTAATTTAAACATACCTATATATTTGAGTATTTTTTGAAAATCAAGAATAGCATTTTTGTCAGGAATGCTTGCAGAAAAGGACAGCTTAATTCCATTTAAATACATACACATGTACATCAAAATGTGAGCAGAGATGGTAAGAGCTTGACAAATATCAACTAGCAAGGACCTCTTCTCCCGACCCTCCTTCCCCCCCCCCCACATGCCCCTTCCCACACACAAACTACTCTCCTTCCCCAACCCTCCTTCATATCTGTAATTTGTGTAACCTGTTCCACTGCCAACCAAACTGAAAGCCAACCAAACTGAAAGCCAACCAAACGAAGCCAACCATTGTCTGGTGGAGATGCAGGTATCTCTTGCCTGCAGGTGATTGAGAGAGATGCATGTTAATGGCTGGTTGTCTTTTGTGTGCGGGCATGTAATGGGTTGTTTTATTGCCGTTATCTATGCATTTTTGATGAGCCAGACTGACTGAGAGAGAGTGGTGGGAGTTTTATTGCGGGATGTAAAACGTCTGATGTAATTTGTCACCGCATGAATCTTTAATACAGTGTTGCATTTTCCTGATGTTATGATTCTGTTTACAGAGCTGTATTGTGCAAAGACCTAAATAAAACATGTCGTGTTAATGATTTATATCCCAGCACATAATATGGTTAAGAGTATGGCAGCAAATGCTTTCTGGAACCACTGGTTGATCAATATCATTTTTATACCTCAATTTTATAAATGTCTTTGATATGTAATTACAAGTATTGTATTAATTTGTATAATTTCTCTCTCTCCCCCTCTCTCTCTCTCTCTCTCTCCCCCCCCCCCCCCTCTCACTCTCTCCCTCTCTCTGCTTCCTCTGTCTCTCTCTCTTTCTCTCTCCCTCTTTCTTTCCCTCTCTTTTTCCCTCTCTTAAATTATACAGACTGCCTGTGAACAACAAAAAGCCAAAGGTACAGTATTATTTTTTGTTGTTGTAAGCTTTAAGATTCTTCTTAAATTTTTTAATTCATAAATAGCAGTTTAGTTTGACCTAAATTTTATCATTGATTCACTGATGTAAAAATAAAGCAAAAAACTTATAGCAAATAGCTATGAGAAATAATTTAATAGGAAGTGGAGTGCTACAGCCATAAAGATAATTGATACATGTGTGAAAAGAGTTTGACAGGAATCCATCAACATCTTCAGGAAGTATTTATTTTTTCTAAATTGAATTTTGAAGTACCTCAGAATAACACGCCGCTTATAATCCCACTCTCGATGCGATGTAAGTGAAATGTATAACAGAGAAACTTCCTTGATACCATATGACTCGAGGGTTGATTAATTTGTCATGCACAAGCACTTATACTTGTACATTTCTTTTACATGTAAGTGCATTTATTCAAATTTATAATATAGATACTATATATAGTTGGACTCTGTACGGGAGGATCTGCTGTATCATTAAGCGCAATTATTTTTCAAATTTAAGGGTTGTATTGGATGTTACCCAGAAGAGAGTCCTTAATATCGAACATAGTATTCCTGTGTGCAATGCTTTATCGTTATCACAACAATGTATCGTCTATACGGTGGGCTTAGGGTTGCACCATGTGAGAAAGAGGGGGAGGATTGTTGGTAATCTTTCTTTCTTGTAAGCCCACTGTATATCTACATCACCATGCAAGCCGATACTTATAAGCAGCATCTAATGTATCGTCTGTTTGGGACCAGAAGGGCGTTAACTCTGTGTATGTGTGAACTCCCTTCTGGCTCCAAACAGACGATATATGTGGTGTTAAGACACAATTGTGTAGTATGCGTAGAGTATATTAGATGAAATAGGGGATTATTATTCTACATGTACAGTCAAACCTGTCTATAGCAACCGCCCAAGGTAAACACAGAAAGTGGTCTTTGTATACAGGTGGTCTTTGTAGACAGGTTCCTTTAGTACATGTTTTAATGAGAAACCATTTTCAAGGGAAACAAAAAAATGTGGTCTTTGTAGACAGGTGGTCACTAAAGCAAGTTTGACTGTATTTTGCTATGGCAGATATTGATCAAGCCAAAGGAGGAGAAGGAGGAGAGAGAAAGGAGAACCAAGAGCAGTATCGTCATCAGGAGCGTGGAGGCTCGCAGGCAGAGTCCACCAACCCGCTATCTGATAGCATCTTTAATCACAATTCGCCAGGTGAGTGCCACTACTATACCCCCTTCATGGAGCCCTCTCTAGGTATGTCCTCATCAGCTCGAGATTGCCAAAAAGCCCGATTTTTCTGATTTGGGAAATAATAATAATCCCGAAGTTACAGAATTGCGTCTTCATCTGCCCGAGACTCGACCTCCAAACTTGAAACTCAAGCTCGAGATATTTTGCTCAGCGTTCGGCTCAGTGCAAGTTTTTGGGCTGGTGAAGGCGCACCAGACAAAAAGCGGGATATTTTGCAAACTAGCCCAACATATCTTGGGATGATTATCTCGACCAAATATCCTGTTAATTGCAACTTCAGGCTGATGAAAACGCAAATTAACTGGATAACTTGCGATCGGGATAGTTAAAAATAGCGGGATATTTCGCAATCCTGAGCTGATAATGACAAGCCTATTGAGAGCCATCCAGATTGTGTGATTACCACTCTTTTTATTCAGTGTGTCCCTTTATATTTATGTCTGTGAGCATGTCTCTCAGGTTACAGTCTGATTGCATTGGTTTGGTTTACAAGGCCAATCTTGAAAGTGTGTCTCAAGTGTTTTGCTATTTTTTTTTTTTTTCCCTATTCGGAAATGTGGTATGCACAATGCAGCCTCTTTATCTGTATGTATACATCTGTAACTATGTTGGCGTCTATGTCTCACTCTCTCTCTCTTTCTCTCCCCCCCCCCCCCCCATGTTACTCTCTATATTTGACTCTCTATTTTTGTCTCTTTGTGTCTGTCTGTCTCTCTCTCTGCCTCTCTCTCTGTCTCTCTCTCTCTCTCTCTCTCTCTCCCTCCCTCCCTCCCTCCCTCCCTCCCTCCCTCTTTTTACTTTCATTTTCCCTCCCTCTGCCCATGTCTTCCTTTATTTCCATCTATTTCCATCTATTTCCATCTTTATTTTTTTTGTCTAACTCTACTGAAATCCCAAATGACCTCAGTTTTCTTGGGGTAATTTAGAAAAGGGGCTTTACAGTGCAATCTTAAAATAGAGTGTCCTCACCTCCCCCCCCCCCCCCCCTTTTTTTTTGTTTTTTGTTATTGTTGTCTTCTTGGCAAAATTCTTCTTGCAACTCCCCTCTCATCCTCTCATGATTGCTTGTTAAATCTAACATAGATTTAAAAATTCACAAGATATAGAAGAAATCCCTGACCTGTGCCAATGTATTGAGCAAGGTCTATAGAGGGAATGCACATGGTTATATTTGTTGTGACACCAATCCTTTTTAAATGGCTCTTCATTCATTCAGTGTCCTAAGAGGTTAATGACCTTTGCCTGTTAATCACTCTAGCAAGAGAATGCGTTGAGCCAAGACTAGAATGAATGCCAAGAAACCTAACAGTGTGTATCATCTATTGCGTGTAAAGGATTAATTCTTAAATGGTTAAATCCAGATATCCTACTTATCTGACAGTAACACACTCTGACAATTGTATTCAGATTAGTTTGGTAAAGTGGAAAGGAAGATGGTTTAGGGGTGAGAGGTATGCAGAAAATCTCTATCGTCTTGAGAGGAAGCATAAATATGTTAATACAAATATTATGTAATCATTATCAGTGTCCAGGAAAGAGTTGTAGCTTTTTTATTCAGAGGCATAAAAGTGAATGGGGAAAGTAAAGCTTTTTTTAAATAACAGTATCTTTTAGTATGTACATTAAACAAATTATGCCAAAGTCACGCAGTAATTGAGTACATGAAGGGTAACAAAGGAATGAGAAAGTGTTCCATGTTTCTTTCCCATGGGTCTAAAGATCAGGTTTAACAAAGGAGAAATTAAGACCTAATACTAGCTTCCTTTGTTTTACCCCATTTTGGACAAAAGCTTAAACACAGCATCTGGTTTAAATCATATCAGAATATGGGCCATGGAGTAAAAGCAATAACAACATTTTATGTGAAGTGTATACTGTGCATATGTTTGTAAAAAGTTTTCCCTCTTTCCATTGCAGCAATAAATATGAGTCAGTGGAGTGAAAACCAGAAGGGAGCGTGGCCTAATGGACCCGTCACCTCTAGCGGCTGGACTCCAATGGATCCAAGTAAGTCATGTTAAGAACTGACTTAAAAATGATTGAGAAGTACAAGTTTGATTTGATTTAATTTAAGTTTTTAAGTATGATTTCAGGGACAGTGTTTAGATGATGTGTCGTATTGAGCATAATCAGTAGAGTGCAAAAAAGTAATTTTCACTTCTTTTATCTATTTATTTGCAGGCCATGGCCAGCCGTCTGCCATGAGCCAAGACAATGGAAAAGGTAACAGCTCACCAGGAACGGGTGTAATAGGCTCCATTTGGGGGTCAGGTAGCGCCAGTGGATCCACCCCTACATCCAGCGGCTGGGGCAGTATCCCAGCCAGCACATCGTCGTCCTCGCCGTTCCAAAACAGTCTCTTTCAGAACCCCACCAGCAATGGGCACAGTGGTGGTTCATCAGTGTGGGGCACCCCCACCACCCCGCAGCCAGGCGGTAAGGGGGCCCTGCCATTCGGGGGCACCAATCCTGTGTCAGCACCGTCTACTACCTCAGCAAGCAACCCATCTACATCCCAGAGCTCGGGCTGGGACACCAGTGCCAATCAGAACGGGATCGAGCCCCAGCCGGCTTCGACTCCCACGAGTGCAGAGAGCAACCCGGCTGTGCCCACTTCGCAGAGCAGCGGTGGCGCCCCCAGTAATGGAAATGGAAACGGCGGCGGCGGTGGTCCCAGTGAAGGCGGACCAGCTGGCAATGGAAAAGAGCCCCAGCAACAAATTCCGACTTCATCCGCAGTCAATACCAGTAATGCCCAAGGTATGTCCACTAGGCAAGGTGAAGTGAAGTGTTGGAATAAGGAATCTGGGCTTAAAAAGGGAATTTGTAAAATAAAGGCATGAGCCATATAAACAAAGTTAGGTCCATTCCTAGACTCATAATTTTGAGCTCATTGCTAGCAACAACAGAAAAAGTTCGAGATCATTTTTTAAAGAATTTCCATGTGATTGAAATTTTCAAACACTTAATATTTTGTAAGGAGTTGATTGATTTATGTATATCTGTCTTTCTTTTTCTTCTGTGTGCAGGCTCCTCTTGGGGATCTAGTAATCCACCAGGTCCAGCAACTCTGACAGGAACATCATCATGGGGAGCTCCACCATCTCAGGCTCCAGGTGGATGGGGTGCAGACCCTTCAGGACAACCGGGTGGACATGATAACAAGCCATGGGGCGGCGGAAACAGCATGCCAGCCACAAGTTCCAGGGGATGGGGTGGTAGCAATATGCCCAATGAAGCTACCGGCACTGGAGGATGGGGAAAGCCTCCTGCTACCGAAGCTCCAGGTGGATGGGGAAATAGACCTCCGACTACTCCAACCAGTGGACCACCACCAGGACCACCACCCCCAGGACCACCTGCAGGATGGAACAAAGAGGGAAACAAAGACAACAGCCAACAAGCAGCTCCAGGGTGGAACAACCGCCCAAGTGGCCCAGGTGGATGGGGCAACCAGCCCACACAACCTCCCCCTGGACCTCCTGGACCCGGAGGAATGAAGAAAGACCAACCAGACAATGGACAGTCTGGCTGGGGCAAGCCAGCAGGAAATGCCCCTTGGGCTCAGACAGCCAGCAAGGGTACCACTGACCACAGGGGAATGAATCCTGGAGAAACAACTCCTGTAGATCAGGCTTCGATTGTAGCACTAGTGAAGACACCATGGGGAAAGAGGCCAGTCAACCAGGAAGCAAAGTGGGACAAAACAGCCCCTCCACAACCAATGTCAAACCAAGTTGGTACAACAGGCTGGGGATCCCAACCACCAACATCAGACCGACAGTGGGAGAAGGCTGAGCAGCCCAAACAGTCTGCATGGGGCAAACCACACGCTCCACAAACACCATCGGAATCCTCTTGGGGGAGTCAGCCGCCCACATCCGGACCACCACCAAGCTCTCAGTCTTCAGGCTGGGGACCACCTAAAGAGAGAAACGATGGCCAGGATCCTGGTTGGGGTCAACCACCTACTACCAGTGCTCCTTCTGGAATGCCAGGGGGGCCAGGGCCACTTGGACCCCCGCCAGGGAGCCAAGCCTTGGGACCTCCTGGTCAGCCTGGATCTCACGGACCCCCTGGCCAGCCTGGATCTCACGGTCCCCCTGGCCAACCCGGTTCTCACGGACCCCCTGGCCAGCCTGGATCTCACGGACCCCCTGGCCAGCCTGGATCCCATGGTCCCCCTGGCCAGCCTGGATCTCACGGACCCCCTGGCCAGCCTGGATCCCATGGACCCCCTGGTCAGCCTGGATCCCACGGACCCCCTGGCCAGCCTGGATCTCACGGACCTCCTGGCCAGCCTGGATCCCACGGACCCCCTGGCCAGCCTGGATCTCATGGACCCCCTTCTGCTCCTAGTTTTAACACTGAGAGATCTAGTCCTCCACAGAAAGACGCCATGGAGACAGGCAGCAATGCCTCAAGCACTACGCCACAGCCATCGGTCGATGAACCTGGACCACCACCTAAGAAGATAGTTGCCACTGGTTGGGGAGAAGCGATCATGATGGAGCGCCAGCAGGGCCAGGGGACTTCTGACAATGGAACCAGCCATTGGGGCGACCCCGGCGACCACAACAAACGCCTCACTCGCCGACAAGCCGGTGGGCACATGCCGCACATGGGTGGCAACCCCCAGAACAGTACTATGCAAGGTCCACCCCCCTCGGGCCCACAAGGTGACGCCGCCATGCCTCCTTCCTCCATGATGCCCAATGCTCCGCCATCACAGTTCAAACCCGACAACCAGTGGGATGACAACAAGAGCAAGCAGGGCAGTTGGGGAGATTACCCTAACCACCGATCCAACAACAACAACAGCGGTGGAAGCATGTGGAACCAACCAGGGAACCAACCAGGGAGCAACAAATGGGATCAGTCTTCCACGCCTTCATGGGGCCCGTCCAGCAGTACTAACGTCAGTACTCAGAATAAGGATTCTATGCAACAAAACTGGCACGATGATAATAGTACTGCCTCCAGTGAGTAGTATTTTTTCTCCCAATTTGTAACAAATTTTCTTGAAAATATGAAATAGATGCACCCAAGAGAGTATTGTTCTGTAAGCTTGGTTATGATACATGTGTGAGATTTCTTCAGCTTTATTTTCCAAGCTTAACTATAAATTCTTTCATGTCATGCAGTCGAGCCTCTCTACTGTTGGTTGCATGTGCGAAATGCCTGCACATTTATGAAACAAGAAACTTAATTACTGTAATAGAATATTTAGAAATGAAAGAATTCAAATATGGATTTTGAAAATTTTTCACCTTTTTAAACCTTTCAAGGGCTATATGTTACTGTTTTCTACCCCTCTTTTAATGTATCATGATGTTCATTTTCCATCTTGTGAGGGTCATGGCAGTCATTCATCCTCCTATATGTTTAACCATAACTCAAACCGTTGCATCTTTTCTTTCATCATCACCATCAGTTGGTCACTGGGGAGATGAAGAATGGGAGAATCGTTCTCAGAGCAACGAATCATCCATGTCAGGCTGGAGAGGTGGCCCGAAGAAACCCAGGGTAGGTTTATTTGTATAGTATCATCCCTCCCCCACCCCACCCTAGCCAAAAAAAAATTGCTAAATTTTGACAATTTGTCAGAATTTTGTTGTTTGCAAGATTTTTAAATGATAATGACCCGCAATCCTTTACCATTTGTGCCCTAGTGTTCAGAATGGACAATTGGTTTGGTATTATTACAAGGTAATTATTTTGATAAAACTATTTATTGCCCATTTCTGCAATGTTCTTCATAGGAAATATGTTTTCCCTATGCTCTAAATCTTGTACAAGATATTATTTGTATTTGTTATTACATGCAAACAACTTCAATAGAAACCCTTTGATTAATTTTACTTCCTTAAAAAAAATACAACCCAAAACAGTACATTTACAGTTCCATACATCATTACTAATTTCTCCCCTATTTTTGTCTTCTTCCATACATGATATGTTTGTATATATATATAGCCCCCAGGACAGCGTGAATCCAACCACTACATCAGCAAGTTGAAACGACTGATGGACTATGGCTACCCCAAGGAAGTGGCCGAGGTTGCATTGCGCAAACACAACTTTCATTTCGAAACTGCTCTGAGTAAGTGTTGCCTATGACAAATGTTTATGATATTTGAAAAGCTTGTGATGTGTATCCTCAATGAATCTTTTTTGTTGGGGGGGGGGGGCGGGAGAATTATGGCTATTGCACTTATATTATGTAGTAAATTTTCTTTCTCCTTACTTGATGGGTGTGTGTTTGCAGCTGATCTGTACCATGAGCAACATGGGTTGTTTGCAAGGTAGTAGTTCAATGTGAATGACATGTTGAATAGACCCTATTTAATGGTTAGGAAGTGCTTCTGTGCATTACAGTAAAAATTGAGTCATTCTGAAAAGAAAAAAAATTATATTTCACTCTCAACCCCCTTTCTCTCTCTCTTTATCTTTGAACAGCTGAGCTTCGTCAGATTTCAGACATGATGGATCAGAGCAAGATGCCGCCAGGGGATGCAGATGATCCTGTCCGACAGATGGCCCGTACCATGAACAACATGGGTATTGGTGACAGTCCAATGTCAACTGGCAGCGACCTGACCAATGCTAACATGCTGCTCAACAACAGCATGCCTGGATCTCTTCCCCTTGGAGGGAAGCCAAGCAACATGATGGGCACACCAGGGTTCATGCCGTCAGGTAGCGTGGGACAGAGGTTCTCCAGTCAGCAACAGAACCTGCCGATGGGTCAACAGCCAGGTGGTCTCAACCAACAACCCCCGAGAGGACCCTTCAACAATCAGCAGCAGATGATGCAACAACAGCAACATCAGCAGCTGTTCCAGGTCCTGCTCCAGCTGGCTGTACAGAGTGGCATTGTCAACCAGAGCCTTCTTCAGCAGCAGGTTACACCAACACAGATCATGAGCATCGTTCAGCGCTACCCACAGCTTTTGGCCCAAGCCCAAGCTCAGCAGGGTAACCTTCCTCCAGTTGGCGGGGCAAACAGTGTCGGGAAAGGCATGAGTTCTGCACCTAACCGTTCCCAGCAGGAGTTGATGGCACGCTTTGTTCAGCAGCAGTTGCTGCAAGGACAGCGGCCTCCAGTGTCTCGTCAGCCATTCCCAACTCGCCCCAAGGTGCGAAGCGATTCTGAGATGTATTCCAACACCACCACCTCCTCAGATCTCCTGGGAAATATCAGCACCATGAATCCTGACATCAATATGCGTGAGCCACTCCAGCAGTCCCGCCTTCAGCATTTGTTCGGCAAGCCTGGAGCAAAGAACTTCCCGCGGTCTAACAGGTCAGAGTCTGTCCCTGGCCTCCCTGACAACAACCGCAGAGGTTCCAACTGGTCTCGCAGCAACTCACCAACCCCGTCGGATAGTTTGCCCAATAGTGCTGACTCTGCCTTCTCCGATGGAACTGGATGGAACTTTCCTCAGCCTGACAACATCAGCTCAATCAATGACGATGTCCCAGAGTTCATCCCAGGCGTTCCTTGGAACCCACAACCAAGCCTTGATGTTTCCAATGACCCATCAGCTACTCCAGGAATGTACGCCCCTTCCAAGCCCTCTGGACGGGACATTCAGCAGAAGGATGACATATCTGGTATCCTGACCCGCCCCATGAAACCCCAGGCCCCATGGTCGTCCAACCAGCCTGGAGGAGGACGCAAGCCCAGCTGGAACTACGAGGGCGGTAGCGGCCAAAACTTTGGCGGAAGTGGAGGAGGGAATGCAGGTTCTCGCTCCAACCAGCTGTGGAATAGTGCCCCAGGAAACCAGCCACGTGCTACCAGACCACCTCCAGGACTGGGTGAGCATCCTCATAGTAATTCCTGGAGAGGAAGTTGGGATGCTCCCTCTGGTAAGAACCCACTAATGCAGGGGCATGCAGTAATGCACAGTGAGTACAAGAACCAACCAAACCATAATCCATCCACAATTACTTCATTTTGATTATTCAAGCTTCTTGTCAGCCAAAGTTCTGTATCAAATTTATTTTCAAATACTTTATTTTCAAATTATATCTTCATCATTTTATTTTGACTTGTTTTGAGAGGTGTATTAAATTTGCATGTAGGCCCTATCCCTTTTTGGTACGATCTTTCTTATATTCCTCAACCCTATACCTTGAAATATATATCCAGATATGCCTCTCTAAACCCAAGTCTCCAATTTTGCTAACTCATTTCCATCGTTTACATTTCCTCCACCACCCACTAAAATCCAGTTATAATTGGTCAACATGTACTCATTCAAACTGTGCTTCCATCTTTTATTTTATTATTTTTTTGCAATCATCAGCCACTAACATGCCCCCACTGTGTGGGTTACTGCTTTACTTGGGAACATCTTATTTATTTTATTTTATGTTTGCATTTATATGTCAGAGGAAATGTTTAGAAAAGTCTTCATTTGGTTTGCTTACGCTTTTTCTCTCAATGAAACATTGATTTTGTTCGAAATAATTACAAACAAAAACAATAAAAACCCTCGACAATGGTAGATTGGAGGAAAAGATCTACTCAACATTTGAGCCTTTTACGTGAAAATAGCTTTTTAAAAATACATATGTCTGACAGAGAGAAAGCAAAACAGATTCTACTCTGATGACATTGCAACATCCCATTCTTTACTGAAATCACTCAATGAAATTTGCCTTTTCTGGGTGTTTCCTCTGATAGTGTTTCTAATCATGATATGTACATAGTTGTATGTAAAATTTACTCATGTGTTTTATTAGTAGGGAGGAGTTGAGAGTGCACTGGACATGTGTGTACACGCAAGTGTAATTCTTATAATCACATATCTCGTAATACATAGTTGTTCCTATTGGATTCGTGTTCTCTATGGAAGGTTAAAGAGAAGGTTGAGTTCTGAGGAGAGAGAGGTGAAAAATTATTTGTGAGCCTTTTCATTTTTATAATGCAAGTGTGGAAGAACATGAGAGAAAAATGTTCCCTGGAAAGCGTGGTTCTTCAAATGCTTTCATATCCTTAATATGACATGTAACAGCTTAAAAATGACATGATTTTTATGCCACATGTTTGTGAAGTCCCATATACATCTTTCTGTGTACAGTGCTTGTTACTTTAACCAAGACTGGGCCAAATTCTCATCATGTTGATGATTCCAGAACCAGTACACACCAATACTTGCATGCTACATGATCAAATTTTTCTGATCGATTCCACATTGTTTCTTTCACAATTCAATCGCATGATCAGAACTCAACTTTATCTTTAAGTGGTAACGTGGCTTCAGTAGAGAAACGCTTTGCAAATAGGTTGTACAAGTGTGTTATGTTTATGTATCTTAAGTTCCAGTTGAGCAAGATTAAAGCAGTTTATCAATCTGCTCAGTGTAGAAGAAGAATATGTCATGGTAATCTAGCAAAGAGAAACAAAATGACTGTGTGATCTCTCTAAATGATTACAAAAATTGAGCACAAGCTGTCCATTTCAGCCACAATTATACTATCTACTATCTTCATAAGTTTCAAATAGTCTGTTTAAAAAAAATCCAGATTACCATTTTCTTTTTCCCCTACACCTTTGTCTAAAGTCATGTTCTCCGCTTTACAAACTGCCTTTTATTTGCCACTGTCATTTAATTAATATTGCTGGTAGCACGTACAGCAAGTATATTTCACAGTTCGACTATTCTTAAAATTGATGTAACAAAATCATTTCATTCTGTGTTTTCTGTTAATGCCATGTTTTTTAATGATATATTGTTCATCAATATACATGTAAATGGAAAGTGTTTTAAAGAAAAATAGATTAACAGAGTAAAGTACTTTAAACACAATACTTATGGTCAGTAGATCTGCCCACACGCAACTCCATGTGGCTTCATTATAAACATGTGTTTAGTACATGTATTTATAGTGTTGTATGTGCCTGTAGATGATTGTTATGTTTCTTTAACAAAGCTGGTAATACATATTGATTGATTGAGAAGTATGTAGGACTTCATCGGCTTGTACCCTTATGTGTTTATCCTTCATATATAGGATCATCCTGGTCTTCTGGAAATGGTATGTCTGGCGGAAACTCAATCCTCATCTCTGGCGTCACATCTGATGTAAGTATCATCCCTAATGAGGGGGGGGGGGCAGACTCTCATTTATAACAAAAGGAATCTTGCTACTTAAAGTTCAAGTTCAATTGTATTGATCATGCACAATCACATGGCATAAAGATAATTTTCTGACTTTCTCAATTTATATAAAATCAATTAACAGTTGAAGCAAGGATTTAGTTTTTATGTACTTAAATCCTTTTCAGACTGGTTCAAGAGAAGAGCCTATTCTTTCCAGTGTTATTCTTGATAAGATGTTATGGGTTATGGGTGTCTGACGTTATGTTTCTTCTATTGGTCAAGGATTTGGTTGATACAGTCAAACCTGTCTATAGCGACCGCCCAGGGGAAACACAAAAAGTGGTCTTTGTGGACAGGTTCCTTGAGCACATGTTTCAATGAGAAACCATTTTCAAGGGAAACAAAAAATGTGCTTGTTGTAGACAGGTGGTCACTAAAGCAGGTTTGACTGTACTGCTTGAATAAAGTAAACAAATGTACATTTTATTGATGATGGACCTTTGCTATCCTTCAGGTGAATGTGACTGCCCTGAGGAACATCTGTGGACAGCAGGGCCAGGTGGATCAGTTCCAGGAGAACCGTGCCCAGGGTTCCGTCATGGTGGCCTACCGCTTCCCCGACGATGCGGCCAAGGCCCTCGCCATCATCTCCTCCGCCTTCCCCAACATCATCGCAGAGCTGGTCTCCCCCAGCGATGCATTCTCCACCCCTGCCTCCTCCTCCTCCTCCGGCTGGCCCCAGGGAGGAGGCAGCAGCGGCGGGAGCAAGTTTGGTAACAGCGTTCTCCCCAGCACCTCCAGTGCCTCTGGCGCCGGCAAGGACGATAGCGGCGGCAGCAAACAAAACTGGAGCGCCGGACTCCCAGGCATGCCAGGAAGCCAGCTGTGGTCTCCAGGCCCCGGTGGATCCATGGGCTGGAGCCCCATGGACGGAGACTCCTCTAGTGCCTCCAACTTCAGCTTCTTGCCTGGAGACCTCCTTGGAGAAGGCACCAACTAAGATGAAGACGTGATCATCGCCAATACCCTTTATGGTGCTACGAAAAAGAAAAAAGAAAAAAAGAAAAAGCCACTCAATACCACTTGATTATTATACCATGTATATGTATATCTTTGTGTATATCTCAAGCACTTGACAATTCAGCCATGATGTATGTATCAATATTAATCTATGTATCATCTTACATACAAAGGCATGTGTATTGTCGTCACCATCCATCCGTTGCATGCATAAGTAACTTATGCAATTTTATCTTAATGTACTTTGTAAGTAAATTGTGCTCGGGACACTACTGTAGTCAGTGAAATACCTTGTTTTTCATATGAATAACTTTGTACTTGTGTCAATAGACAGTTCTCTTGTATTGCTTTGGTTGAATATCAACCAGGCTAACTATTCATCGATGTCCTTGGAAAGTTTTCTCTCCTTTTTTTCTTCTCCAAAAAACTGCTAACAAGACTTCCAGAATGACAGATGTGTGCATTCGGTGGTGGGGTTTTGGATCAAAACTTTATACTGATTCAACAGCAACTTTTAGCTGCCAAAGAAATTAAAGTAAGATTTGACAATAATAATGTATATATTTATATTTTTCCCTGTTGTTGATGAACTGTTTTTTTTTGTGAGGAGTGTTTTTTCGCTGTGCGAAACTTAGCCAAGCTCGTGGCTGTCACTTTTTTTGAGAGACATCCCCAAAGTCAGAACTACCTGGAAGCCATAATCGCAGCTCATTGACAGATTGATCTTGCGTACGACAGTACATGTGCAATGAAATAAATGTGATTCGTTAAAAGATGTATGGAGACACTTTCTCTCTCTCAGATGGAACAGCCTACTACAAGGAGTCTACAAGCACTAGTTTGAAGAAACAATGATTATGGATTGTTATGGTTCAAAGCAAAGCAAAGCACAAGACAATGAACAAAGTCGAGCCAAGTATACAGGGCATGCACATACACTATAAACAATTGCTACGCATCCATATCTGTGTGCTCCAGTGCGATAATAGCTGAACTAGCTGAAATGTGACTCACGGATTAAGAAAGGAAAGACGGTGCCCTACAAATGAAACATGAAAACTTTTGTGCTATTTGCAGAGATACAAGAAGAGGGTCCTTGGCTCCGTACGGAAAGAAAAGCATGATGACACACGGCTGTGCAGAGTGATAAAAAGACATCTAACCAGGAAAGAAAGTACTCCAACTTGTCTTTGCGACAAGCGATGCAGATGAAAAGGATTGTTGGATGTGATGCGGAACGCAAACATGTTCTTGTGACTTAACATAAAGGCGGATGGTGCAACCTACACTGTATTCCAAAGCATTTTTCTTTTAATGTATATTCTGTGTATCGATGACTGATGCAACTGTATGTGTCGTTTTATGAAGAAGTAATAAATAGAGCAGCGTACGTCAGCATGTCACATAAAAAACGAACTTGGCTCATCCAAGAGACGACATGGTCGCAAAGTCTTCACTACCAATGCGATTCTTAAGTGCAATTTTTAATTTGGTTTTCCTTGTGCATAACAATGGGGCTTTGTCGCGTAGCCACGCCAAGGCAAACTAGCGTGTGGATGGATGGCATTAACGGAAGAAAACAAAACTAAAACAACCGATAAGTTCAGTCTGCTTCGAATTCCAGGGATGCTCCGCCTTTGACGCGGGACTGGAGACATGGAACCTGGCGAGTATTTTGTATGGGATGGAGACTATTACGGAGTACATTTATGGTGTAATAGAGTCGTGGCTGAACTGTTAACTGAAATTGATCTCCACCACCAGCTGTCAACTTAATGAGAAACTGAGTTGTCTTTCACTCGGATTAACAGTGTAAAGTGTCATTTTGTCTATTTTTGAATACTGCACTTTGTTTTCTGGTCTCACGAGGCATTTTTCCGCACGATTAAGAGAGAGAAAAGTATACGTAGGATTATTTACGAAAGTTTTTTCCTGTAGAGGAGAGCATTAAAGAGACTTTGTTTGGTGGATAAGTAATAAGATAACCATGGTACTCGTTCATGATTGCATTATTATTCTGTAGCTTTATAACTGTTGTCGTCCGTAGCTGTCACTGTGTTTCATTAGCATTTTACAATGTCCAATTGCAAAGCTGCAAATATTTGGGAACAGTATTTGACAGTGCCTACCAATTCAGTCACTCCATTCTGTGAAATTCAAGAGGTATAATGTTCAAAACAAAAACGTTGAAAAAAGTACAAAAATTTGAAAATTTTAGAACACTATTATGCAAGTAAGGTATATGTGAGTTTCATTTTGTTAAGTCAGCCCTTATTTTGACTATTGATGTGTAATGGCCATAACATTGCATTGTATTGATGATCAAATCTTAATTCATTGTTTGTACACTACTTTTATAAAATTTTGCATAGGAGATCATTCTGATACGTACATTTATAAATATGTATTTGGCTATAAATATAGAAATATATATATTTCATGTTATATATGTATGTTGATTGTATATCCATACAAGACATTTTGTTTTGTCAGCACTGATATATTTGTACCTTCGAAATGCTTTTTTTATTTAAATGATTTGCAAACGTTAGGAGAAAGAATGATGGTGATGTTGAAGGAAAAAAAAGAAATAACTTCTGAAATGATGAGAAGAGTAGGTTTTAGTGTCGGTAGGGATTGTATTCAGTTATTTTCAGTGTTTGTCTTTTAGTTAAGTTATCCCCTTATCAGGGAAAGCCACTTATTCCAAAACCAAGTGCAGCTGAGGTTTATGTCTAGACTTTATCTCTTTGTTTTTCTTCTTTCTCCAGAAAAATAATTCCCTTGTGCCGGCTATTTTTTTGTTTTGTTCCTACATGTGACATAAAGAACAAAATAACCCCTAGTTTCAACGTCCTCCACGTAAGAAATTGAATGTGTTCAACCATTACCACTATGCGAAGAATATCACATTTGTATTGTATGACGTACTAGCACTCGACAGCCACTCTTTTGACGTGAATGATGATCAGATAGTTTTGAATGCAGTCTTGCATTACTGTTTTGATTTTAAAAAGACGAGTCACTAAAATCTGAAATTCCGCCGTTTATAGCTATCTTGTAATACTGAATGTAATCAGGTTGCTTAGAGTTTGAGAAAGGTAAGAATACAGCCGCCAACTTTGTGTCTAGTGCCTTTCTATATCAGTGTTTGGTGTTCATCTAAGACGGCCTCCAGGTCGTATTCCAGGCGTAATCGCTAAGCACCGATACACTCTGGTAACATCTCAGTTGTGGTGTTATATCTCAGTCCAGTGCTAGAGCTAGCACCTTTGATTTATAACTCCTGTAAATGTTTTCCTATGAGGAGACTCGGTGTCAACACCCACCATTTGTCTATATGCCAACTAGAAAAGTTTCAGGAAACTGCCTTTTCTCTATGGTTGGGAATCTGGTCGTAAAATAGCCTGTGTCTTCAGAAAGACTTTCAGAATCGACTTCTAAATGCAACTGTCTCAAAACTGCATTACTACATGCCAAACTGAAACATCTAATAAAGAGTATTACCATTGTTGGACTATGCCTCACAAGAAAGCTAGTAGGTATTCTTTACAAGTATCTCATACCATGATTGTTAAATGCCTTCATTACACCTCCTCCACTTGAAACCTAAGCTCCCCATCTTCCCAAACTGTACTTGCCACATATTGCTGTATATCAAATCAAATCAAATCAGTAGGTCGAACATGGCTTTTAATAGCACAATTACCAGGATAGTATTATCAAGATTTTGGAAATCACCCCCAGCAAGGGAAAGTTTTCAGCAATAACATATGAATGCACTGCTTTATTTCTATTCACGCTGTTCCGTCAAAGATTCAGGTGGTTTCCCCCTCAAACTGCCAGTCGTTATTTAACGCCTCGTTGTCATTGAAATTTGCCAATTCGTTAGGAGTATTCTTTGCAAAAGTGTTTTGAGAAAGTTGTAGTTTTAAGACCGTATTTTGCATGTTGGTCATGCTGTAAGCTGTCTTTTGATCGTACTCCAATCTTGTAGTGATCAAAATCCCTGTTCATTGTTCCGTCTGGTTTAAATTTGGGCAGAACTGGACTGCGTCTTGAATTTCACATATTTTGTCCGGATACAATTAATGATTTTTTTGAAATAAACAGCATGATTGTTTGTGCCCCGCTAAGTTTAAGTACAACTTGTGAGAACACATTCACTCTGTCCAGATTCACCTATACCATCTTCATGATGATGCTGTGTATTTCCATGAACAGGGCCTTGTAACACAAAGTTTTTGCGGTGAATGGCGAATTTGAAATACCCAGTACCCATTCTGATATGTTAATTGTCAGCCTTGTTAACAGCATGTGCATTCAACAATGATCTTGATTTGCCATTAACATTTTGCAATTGATTGCAAACTTTTTTCAATTCCTTGCAATAATGAAGAACCATCTAGTTATGTTATGCACAGCTGTGATCTAGTAATAGAGCATTCAAATCTCACACATACTCCAGAGTTTACCTCAAAATGTATCTTTTGGAAATTTGCAATCAGAAAGGACCAAACTATATAATACAAACAGCTGTCTCTTATCAGGTGTGAATAAAATTGATTCTTTGGTGGATTTTGAAAACTAGAAATGGGTTTTGTCTTTGGCAATAGTATTTAAGATGACAAGGGGTGTCGGGATGGATGATCTAGGCCAGATCTCTTGATCATGTCTTTGAACGGATGGAGCTTTACCAGAATATATGTAGGACACCTTTTTCCCCCCATTTTCTTTCTGAGATGTTGTCAGTGGTGATATTTCGTGTAGCACTTTTAAACAGTATTATCAATCTTAGACCTGTACTCTATCGACATGAAATAAACTGAAGAGAATATTTGGAACATCAGTACAACGAGAAGGAAAGTTCATGACATCTGCTTCAATCTTTAATGACTGTTTAATGACCGCATATCTTTCAATTGTTTCTTTCCTTGGGAAGGAACTCTCCAGGCAATGCATGGTCTTTGAGATAAACCCTTGCAAAAACCTGCTGACGCCCCTCCATATTTGAGACGTAAGACGATGCCTTAAGGAGAGGATACCTACCTGAAACGGAGCTAACTCTTCATGTAATGTGAAACGGACATGATGGTCTTCCATGGTTGATTACAGCCATCCTTAAAAAAAAACCATGTAGTCACATGGGTATAATGTCATTACAGTTCTACCAAGCGGATGTATAACAGCAGAAGCATGAACTATGCTTCACTTTTCCAGGAAAGCGCTGTGACAAGCAAACCTGATATGAACAGTTGTGCTGACACATTTGTTTCCAATCTAAGAAGTACGTCAGGATTGTGTGCACATCTTGCTTCAGCTTACAAAGTATTCCATCTCATATTTTTTTTCTATTTTTACCTTGTGCAATCTCTCTGAAACTTTGACGTGGTAGAGAAAATCATTATTTTGTGTAGATACGTTGAAAAGAAAATGACATAAAACAAAAAGAAAAAAAAAATGGTGCCAGTATATTTGCAGGGATTTTGCCATGTATGACACAAATCATGATAAATGCTGTTTTCCTTTTTATTTTTCATCTTCTCTTTCCACAGTCAGAATATAACACAATGTGTGCCACAGAATTTTCTATTATTGGACTACTATGAAATCGGTATATTTGTTTAAAAATAAGTAATGTCTTACTTCTGTCTCTCTTTAAAAAGAAAAATAATAATAAACAAAATGCCCAGAACATCACTACTTACTAGTGCTGTGACAAGTTTGAAATAAGAGAAATGACTATCAATTGTGCTGAGATTTTTAGTTTTGTAGGGTATTTTCTGTCAAACTATGCTGACTTTTGATGTCTCCTTGTCCCCTCACCAGTGATCTTTCAGAAATATATTTGCCTTGTCGTCGTCGTATGTAGCTCTTTTAGAAATGTTTTCTTTGTTTAAAATGCAAACAAATACCAAACAGTAATTAGCTAAATTATTGAACTTTAAAAAATGCTATCCCTCTGATGACTGACCAGTACCATCTTGAATAATGATTTATTTATCTAGTGTAAAGGTGTTGTTTATCTTAATAGGAGAAAGAATCATGCAATAAGAGAATAACAAACGTTAGGATGCTAGAATTTGATGGAAGCGATTCATTTCGCTCCGTCGAGCCCCATTCAGGCACGATGCAGTGAATTGTTTTAAAAGAAAACTGCCACTGCAAACTTGGAATAGTTGCTCAAAACAATGACCCCAATGATCATATTGCTGTGGCAGATTTTTTTTAAAAGCAGATGACTGCCTCGTTTCCGAACGGGCATTTAGTGCTCATGCTTTTTTTATATGAAGTAATATATTGCATGGATGACATTGGTTTGTTAAAAGTGGCATTTCCAGATGTCCACTTCGGGAGCTTTCAACCACTTCAGCCTGTGTTCTTGGGATAGGTTCGGTCAAGACTGGTCAAAGACTGTGGTCCTTGTGGCGATAGAAACTTGCTTTGAGAGTGAAATCAACATGATATTGATGTATATGAGCCTAGGACATAATAGATCTACAGCTTCCTGCTTGTATGTTGTTGAATATCTAGGTTTACTGTTGAAAGTATAACATTTCTTCAGGTATTTCATCGCTTTGGGCACAGGTCTTTGAGGACACGGTGTAAAGGCCATAATTCTTTCCTTGTCTGTGTTGAACTGCTCTCTTGAGCTTGGGGCTTCTGAGTACAGGGTGATTTTTCATTTCTTTCCATACCAATTCAGTGAATTGATGATAATGCAAATGTTTTTACAGTGAACTAAATTATTGTGGGTTTTTTCATAATCTACTAGTCTATGCTGAAGCGAATATGGGATAACTAAGGAGAACAGGAGATATTTACTTTGCAGAGATGAGTAGTGTTGGCTAAGAGAAAGCCTCTAGGTGCAAGACAAATTTAAGGGACAAATTTAAGAAGATGCCTTTATTATTGCCAATGTTGTAGTATTATAACCCACCTCCATTTGTGGTGTATATGTGTAAATAAGTGTGTGTGTACCGTGTTTAATAAATATTCGTGCACAAGAACTCATTTCTCTTTCATTAGCGCATATCTTAGGGAGCGAATTTTACTGAAAGATCAAAACATTCAGAAAGAAAATATAATTCGTCAAGCCATGGGCCTATAGTAACTATAATTTTGTTGTGAAACGATGCTGCCATTTCTATAAAGATTCAGAAAAATTTGTATTGAATACATTGCATGCAGTACAGCTTTTGTTTTTGATTTGTTTTCTTCTGTTTGTGTATATTTTCTTATATAATTCTGCATTTTTAAGGAATTGATTAATATGTGGATTAGCCAGTACCAATACCAAAGGGTGATTTACACCATGTCATGCAACTATAAGGAGTATAGGGTGTTTACTTATGAAGTAATGTCAAACTTAAAAAGAAAATGAAAAAACAACAAAAAAAGCATTGAATCAATTTATGGACAAAAGACATGATTTGATCTGACATCTCTGAAATTATTCTGCCTTCTTGAATGTAAATAGTGTAATATCATTACATACGTTAGCATCATTTTTTCGTTCCATTGTGAAATGTTTGAATACATCTTGAGAATATGATGCGATATATATTTTGAGAGATATATATATTTGTTTGTTTCAACTATGCCTGCGAACAGAGACATTTTTATGCTAAATTTCCCTTGTTAGTGCAACACTGAAGATATGCGGCTTTTTGCTGCTGCTGTCGTTAGTTCTAAGTTTTTGTAGTTCGCCATTAAAAACTGCGTATTGTGGATTTCAAGGAGAGGTTAACTGTTTTCACGATGCAAATTTCAACTGTGTCCCTCACTTTGGACATGTTGTTTAATATCATTTCAGATTTGTTTTTGATGTCGACTTGAAATTGTTCTCTGTGCACGAAATTGATAATTTTGGAAATGAAGGCAACACAATATGCTAAATCTGCAGTACTTTTGTCTGAATTGAATGTGAAAGTTTGTCCTATTCGGTCTTGCATTCCTCATTTATGTCACTTTGCAACTCAGCATGACCACAAGTCAGTATGCAAAAGAAGAAAAGAAATTGAATGTATTCTTTGAAATCCATCATTTTGTTTCCCTTTTAAAAATATGTTTGTTTTATTTTCTTCTTCTAAAA